GATTTTATACTTAATATCAGTGTTGTTTTTTTTTAATTTCAAAAGTTTCATGTTTTATAATGTATGAAGATAGATGCTCAAAAAATTTTTTTTTGGATTATTAGCTGCAGTGTGCACAGAAATTAATTACAGTTTCTCAACTGTTCCTAGCCATTTCAATATTTTATGTATAATAATAAAAAACTGTTTAAATGCATTTTTTGACTAGATCAAGGAACAGCACATTAATGATAATTCATATCATACAACCATAAACTTATCGATGATGCTTTTCCATCTTACAATCAGGTTGTTAATGCCCTGATTAAAGAAATCACTAGGCTTTGAAGACAAAAAACATGTTGATGTCCTCTTTAACACCTTCCACATTTGCAATTTACACATACAAGTTACACTAATGTGGTTGAGGCTCAGTAAAAGCCTGGTGTTGCATCTCAGCTAACACTGTCAGTGATCTATACAAATATGAAGGTTCCTCGACTGTTCTTAAGTATAGACAAATTATGATCTATCATGTCATTCCCTTAGGAACGTTTGGTACGGATTCATCATCTAGCAATACAATGACACCAAACATACAGCAATGTTGTGAAACATTATACTGATGGTAAAGACACTGCTGGAACACTCAAAACTATGGCTTAAAATGCACAGTCTCAGATATGAAAATTATTAATGCTGTATGAGCTTATTTAAAAAATTGAGAAGGTCAAAAGGCAATCAAATGACTTGGTTAAATTTTGGAAAGAAATACAGGACATCTGGATTAACATTCCATAAATGTGGATTGATAAATTGTATGACAGCATGAAATCAAGGTCTAAGGATCTGTGTAAACAGTGAGCTCATGTACAAAATACTAATGCATAGTACAACCTATTAGCTTTTCATTTATATTTTCTGTGATGTTTTACTATTAATAAATTTGTCATCTAGTTGCCATTATTGTCACATTTGACTTTTATATTTTTATTGCTTGTGTGTTCTCATAATTATTTACATTATTGTACATCACAGCACTTATCATGACATTCAAGTATATTTTAAGTAGAAATAAAACACATTTTCTGGCTGCAACTCACCTTATTCAGATAACACTTCTTGTCACCAATACCACCCTTGAATGTTGAAACACTGCCTTCCCAATTATCAGTTCCATACCTGGAGACCTGGACTTGTTCTAGTTTTGTTAATATTTCTTGTTTCCTTTTTTGAAGAGCAGCTAGTGGTTGTAAAACTAAATTCTTAAGAAGAAAAATAAAAAAATGAACATTTATTTACCTAAATCCTTAGTAAATTTAAAGTTAAAGGTTTATATAAGAATGAGCTAGAGTTGCATCTTCCAAAAAAGAATACCAAGTTATACTCAGTATAAGTATACAAGTTGGTTCTAAGAGTCATAGTACATGAACAGTGCCTTTCGTATGGTGTCAGTTTCACATATTTTGCTACCAAGTGAACCAGTGAAACCTTATTCATGGCACTAGGGCAGTAAAATTGAAATGGCTGCCAAACTTGATCTTTTTCTCTGATTGCTCATCATTAACTAAATACTTGGAGGGATGGAGGCATAAGAATTCTTCTACCATACTTCACTGAAACTGGTTCAGGTAGTTATTAACAATAACTTGTGACCAAGACAGACAAAAAGACAATTCTGCTTTATGTATATAAATATATATAGTTATGGTTTAGATACTGAAAGTAGGCAAAACATTAGAAACCAATAGGTCCGATACTTGTGACAAAAACCATGTTAATTGCAGATGATCTTTCCCACAAATCTTAGGCCTAATAGACAAATGTAGATATAAATACATTATTATAATTATGGCTTATGGCACTTTATTTTCCATAGTATCTTTATTCTTCATTTGGTCAAACTGCTACAATCCTTGACATGACTTATCTAGATCTACATTAGAGAGACTGGGAGACCATGCTAAATTAATATTTCAAAATATCATTAAATAAAATGTTCCAACAATAACCAAAAAACTAGCCTATGCAGTTAAATACAAATTCCATGAATGTACCTTAAAAACTTCATAAAAAGATTTGGAATTTATTTGTATGAGATAAAAATAATTCAAAACTCACTTCTTAACCTAAAATTTTAATATAACTTGAAATCATTGAAAACTAATTCGTACACCTTCTTTGGATTTATTTAACTTTAGAAGACATTTTTAGTTTCTTAAAATCATTTCATTAAGCTAATAAACAATAAAAAAACAACACTTTAAACATACAAATTGACAACATTTATTATATGTATGGTATTATACTCAAATTCTTAATAATCTTGACAATGAAAATTTAAAAGCTACAAATAAATTTTATTACAACTACATTAAGTTATTCATTATTTTGTTCCTCAATTCAAGAATGTTATCTTAAGTACACATTCTTAATTAATTGTTCTTACATGTTTTTCATGTTCATCCATCCCTTTGTTGGTATTACCCAGGTAACTGCATCTTTCTCTTGCAGTCATATTAACTCCACTGCATACAGTAGTTGAGGCTACAATGGGTCTTCCTTCAGAGTCTTTAGCTACCATCCTAGGTACTGAATAAGTGTTATGAAAACTAATATGACCTCTTGACAGAGTGGCAATAGCAGCTGGAATAACTCCCAGAAGTTGAGTGTGAGGTTGCACAGGAGTACTTTGAAAAATCTCTGGACAAAGTACTGTTCCTTGCAACTGGTAGTGACTGGGACTGCCATGACAAATAACTGATATGCTTCCCTGTTTAGAATAATCTGGTGTTACAGTAGAGACAGCCATTGGTTCAAAGATTGGGCTGTCAGGGTTCAAAGTGTGCAAGGGTTTTGACTGAGTTCCAGAAGATATGTTGGATTTTACCACTGTTGCTGATGATCCACACACCACTAAAATAAATTAATTAATGCAATAACAAATAAGAAGTTTAGATAAAAATCTTCTTTCATTTTTTTTAAGACTAATAAACTCTGATTTTTAATACATAAATATATGTTATTAAAATGTTCAAAGAGAGACAGTTAAACTTCAAATATGTCATGTTCCTTTTCCAAATAATCTCGGTGTTCATCTTAATAAGACATACTTTGAATCAAGTTAATAAACTTTCATGTGTAAGTTTAATACAAAATAATCTTTGAGTCAAGTACTTTCTGAAAACTAAACAATAAAAACAATTTTTTTTAAAATTTATATAAAATTAGAATTTTTTCTGTCAGCTTTATGTGCCAATTGTTAGTATTTCTTTTTGAACATCAGAATGTACCACAAATACCCATGTATTGTGCACACTTTTTTCCCAAAATTTTTGGGCTCAAATACAAAATGTGCACTATATGAGGGAACAATATTGTTCCAGTTGTTTCAGGTGAAATTTTCAGTCCAAATGTTGCCTCAACACAACTTATATTCTGACATAATCATCGTTTGTTGCTGTTGGATCACTGGAAGTAAAAAAAAAGGAACCACAACTAACAGGAACGAACAAAAGTCTGAACTCCTGATATTTATCTTTTAGGCTTCAAGCCATACATGTATAACATGTTTGTTTTGTTAACCATAAGAACTGCACAGTTTATATGCTGGTATTTGATTATAATGATCAGTCAAAATATAAGTTGGCAAAACATTTTCGATTTTTGAGAGCTTTCTTACACTGGGTTGTAAGAGGATTTTACTACCTTATGCTATAGTAACATTCAATCGTAGTCACTCTCCTATGCTTTATGTACAGGGCATTATTGAAAAATGCATATACACAAATTACAGGTCTTTGCTTGTTTATTAAGTAATAGATTAATTAGTAAGCAATAGTATACACTCACACATGCACATACAATTACTTATCAACACAATAATATACCACTTGCTATCCAAATGTCAATAAGCTGTTAGAATTATTCTACACACTATACATGGCCATATTGATTTTTCCTAGTAAGTGAGAACTAAAAATATACTGAGCACTACATAGTAATAAACATCAGAGTGAACTATTGGCAATTTGTGAAAGACAGGATGTGACTGGTGGATCTGATTTTCTAGTTTATGGCTCCATAAACAAATAAGATTAAAGGCTATAAAACTTATGTTTTGTCTGAGTAATATCTATATTGAATTGGAAATTTACATTAAATTCTATACTTCTCAGAGGGGTGGTAAATAAATTTAAGAAGAAAGAAAAACCTAGAGAGCAAATGTCACAATTCTCATACTAGGGGAGATTGAGGATTTTTAAAAATGTTTTCTTATAAAATTAAGAATTTAAAGCTTATATAATATTAAAATTTGATTTATTAACTATTAATAACTTTAAAATACAGTTACAAAGTTTTATTTTTATTAATTAATATGGTATGTATTTTAAAATGTATTATAACTGTCAGAAAGGTGTTGTGGTTGAATTTCTATTCACCTGCAATATAAAAGGTTAAAAAGAAACAGCCAAGTATACACAGTAGTAACTGTAAGTATTTGTATACTCACCTGCCTCTTTTTCATACCCAGAGGTGTCTGGTATAGAAGATACTGCAGAACTTCTCACGTAACTGCATGACAAAAATATCTAAATTATCAAAGCCAAAATCAGGGGAAAAAAAATAATGTACTACAAAATTTACATTCCTATTTGTATTTGTGGCTCGAAATAATGAATGCATGTGATCAAACTACCATCTTAACTAGCTGGATGAAAAAATAATTTAATGTGGAACAAAATATGAAATGAAATTATACTTCCAAAAGAGTTATCCAAAATAATTACCTTATAAGAAATATCCCAATCTAAATAACCCACACATATACAGGTATCACCTAAATCTACAAATGCTGTTGTGCAAGGTTAGAAAATCAATGATCCAATGAAATGACACTGCTGACTCACTAAACAAATAATTAAGAATAAGCCATAAAATAACGACCCCCCAATGTTACAGAAAACCGTGGATTATTTTGCCCACCAAAACATTTAGTTTTTTTTAAACTTGTACAAAAAAATTATTCTGCATTTGGAAATGGTGGTGTCATCATTTTATGTTTAATTTTGATTGAAGGTATGCATAAGGGCTGTCAGCCAAATATGTTTACTTTATCTTTGTTCATTGACGTGGTACTTAACAGTTAAGAGTACTAATTAGGATGACTTATTACCCAAGTGAGCAAGTATTATAATTAAAAATAAGAGTCCATTATCAAATTAATTTCTGAAAGTTTTCTTCATTACTAAAATCATGTCTAATTAAATGTGGTATTGATATGTATTGCACTCTTTTAGAGAAACTAACCCCATGGTAACATTAGACAATAACTGTGTAAAATTCACATCTGAAAAAAAAATGACCTATTTCTGAAAGTGATTAAGTTATTGCATTTCTTCTAATATCATTTATATATTTTGTGATCTATGTAATTTCTCAGTTTCATGAATATACATAAAACAGTAAACAAACAGCAGTAGCCTGAAGCTTCACTGAGTAATGTGAAACTGCAGTTTAAAATATAATCTCACGTTAATATTCATGCTGTATACAACTCAGTAGTGTGATCCAGTTGTGATTCAGGTTTATTTACAGATATCAAACAGCCAAGTTTAAGGATAATGAATGTCATATAGATATTGGAAGTACAAGAACATATGTGGCCATCACTAAAAACTACACATTTCCTAAGAACTGAGTAACACCTTTTAGTTAGTATATATATATATCTTGAAATATTTCGGGTATCAAAACCATTAAACTGTATCAGAAACACTTTGGATGCAGAAACGGTCTATTAAAAGCTAGGAAAACTGAAAATTCATGACAAGTAGTCTTATCATTAAAGGAAATGGACGGTTAATTTAATCTGCTAAAGTGACTGATACAATCTCAAAACAATAATAGACACGTTATACAATAACTATGAGATATTCTACAAACTGTGAAAATAAAAACTGTTTAATCATACTTAACAAAAATAAAGATTTATTTCACAATGGCATTCTAAGAATTTAAATTGGGTTAATCAATGAAAAAAAAAAAGAAAATTTACAATATGTGTATCTAAAGGTGTATTAACATGAAATAAGAATCAGTTTGCTCAAATTTTATATAAAAAAAGAAGTATACTAAGAAATATTCTTGAAATCTGGTGTTTAATAGCAGATACATAAAAGGTTATGTTATGGTGTGAATGCCTTTGCTGGCAAAGTGTGATCAAGTGGCCTTATGAGCACTGGTATCAATCAAAATGTATTATTGGCAATAAATGTGGCAGACATGGTGTGGTTGAAATACTATTAAACACTTCCAAAAAAAACATGATGGTCCAACTACAGAATGCAGAGTTAAAAAATACACAATAAGCCTAATGCTATTATTTTATGACAAATGTAATAGACTATAATCATTCTTTGCCAGCAAAGGCATTCATATCAAATGGCTTATAGAAATAAGTGTTCTGACCAATACTGTATTTTTTATATCCCAGCCAACCTGATGAGTACTGGTCTTGAGTGAAATGCATCATCAGCAATACATAAAATGTGGTTGAAATAATCTTATACACTCTTCTTACAAAACCATAAGGGGCCTAATAACAAAGGTAGTGCTAAAAAATACAATAAGCCTAATACTATTATCTTATGAGAAATATAATTTATTTAAACTACAATAATTTAAAGTTTCTCTGAAAAAATTCTCTTTTTTTTCAGATATCTTTAACAACCTGAAACACTAAAGCAACTAAATGATGAATTGTAATTTAATACTTAGATGGAAAAGCCCTACTCTAGAAGAAAAAGTGTTATAGTGTGATGATACTTAGTACAGGATTATAAAATAATTTTAAAGATAAAACTACTTGATCGAGAGATTGATGGAACTTTTCCCATTTTAAAAATGTTTTCTTCATAAATACTTAGATTCAAAAACATATATTTTGTTCAAGCATTTGAATCCTTTTAAACTTTCCTTGATAAAAGAACTGAACAATTATCATTATTCAACTGCCAATTATTTATACCTCAAGAAAAAAAAATCCATGAGAGACCTGAAAAGCACAAAAAAATGTTTTATTTTAGATTTATAAAGAATATCTATACTGACACAACTTTTATTCTCTGGTTCATTTCTGGACTTCTCCTAGAAAGCACGTTGGTTTTGCTTTTCTACTTGTTTGCAATTATTAAAAATTCAAGTACACTATGTATTCAAGTTTAACTTGTTTTTTTAACTTAGAAGGTTCTTGCTGTAGAAAAATTGACCAAACGTAGAAGTTTATGCTTTGTAATAAATACTGTCTATAATTAGTACCTATTAGTAGTATACATCCCACTTGGAAGTTTTCCAGGTGCTTGAGGTTTGGTTCCATTGGTTACAGATCCTCCAGTTCCACTACTACCAGAGAGCAGGGAATGATGTCCACTGTTCTTCTTGTTTTTGGCTCGATATCTGTGTAAATAGTTTGTTTGTTACTAAGTGCAAAACTACACAATGTAATATCTGTGCTTTGCCCTTTGCCCAATTTTTTGCATTATCAGCCCTCAGACATACTGCTGAGCCACTGGGGCAGATGGTGGTTGCAAATAGACTAAAATATTTTCAAAGGAAGTAACCATCTAATTCTGTAGTTCTCATAATTGATAAATAAAACAAAAACTTTAGTACACAAGAATGGTAATGTAAGAACTAAACGGCATATAATGACTGAAACAATTCAACCTTAAACTAACCTCAAAACCTTGGATCATTTAATCATCTATGCCATTTCAATTAATATCCTATCCAATAGTGAAAAACAGCTCTAGAATTTTTCAACATGCATTAGATGAATGTGATGTTGTCCAGCCCCCCATTATGTTCAAAGTAGTCAGTAAAGATTTTTTTTATTATATACTACTTGTTTTAGTTAAAGGCCATATTACTATTGGAGAAAAGACTTCTGATTCTTCAAAAAAGGTTGTGATTAAACAATCAACAAAGTGCTACTGAATTTTTACTCACAGTTTAGGTATTTGAATAAGATACAATATCATTATGAAAAAGTTTAATAATAGTTTTTTAAATCAAGGTACATTAACTTAAAAAATACAAACATTTAATGCAAGTTAAAAAATAAAAACTGATAAAATCTCATGGCCAAACAAAGACGTATATCGTATGTAATACACATAATGCACCCATGCTATAATAGAAGAAAATATAACTACTTAAATTTTAATACGAGCAACAATTTCAAAGATCTATGTTAAATACATAATACTTCATTCATATGTCCAGATCAGGCAGGCAGAGACATTCTATTTTTTAGTTGTAGTTGGGCAAACTGGGGTATTTTTGATGTGCTAAAATAAGCTTATGACAATCATATTCGAACAGACTTTACAAAATAAATTTCCAGAACTCTTACATTTTGCAGGCAAGATCAAAGTAGTGATTTCGTGACAATTCTGTCATTCAAACATGCTCACCAGTGGTAACTGCATGTCTTGGGTCTCACAAGGCATAAGATTCCCAATGGTCAACACGAAAAATAAACAAATCTGATTTCTATAAGCAATCTGTTTTGTTTAATTGTTTCTTTATACTGGTTATTTCATGGTGGATGTTTTTTACAGAAATGAAACTTCAAGAATTTTTCAAGACCATGACTTAAAAACAGCTGTTTTTCCAGTACTGAAATTTTTAGAACTCTTTTTCTAAGACCCTCCAAGATTTTAATGTCCTGTGGAACCCAGGACATTAAACTTCTGATAAATAAGAGGATACTATACAAATTCTTTCAGGCTATTTAATATTAATTTATCTCAGGTTAAAAGTAATAAATTTTATTGAACAAAAACACATACTATTACTGTACAAAAAAACTGCTGATAAACTTCATCTGATAAACATCTAATCACTGTTGACCTACTTTACATAGTTTATCTGGTACTGGTATTTATCATGAAGTTAATGTGGTCATGAATAGGAAATCCATTGATTATTTGTCCGGATAGGTTTGATTTTAACATTCTAAAATTGTTTTTTCCTGTTGTTTTTTTTTCAGCTAATTTTCAAACAAAAAAGGGACCAGAAATGTAAAAGAAAACAAGTTTAATCAGATAACTAATACAAGCTTATGAAAATGTTTTTAACAATGATTAGACATTTGGGACATGAAGTCTTAAAAAACCAAAACAAGAATAAGGTATTACACTAAAAAAAAATATATTATATTGAACTATCTTTAAAAAAATTCTGACATACCCCCACCAGAATGACTGAGAATTGCAACCTACTTAGAACACATGACTACTAACAGAATTAAAAGTGTATAATGTACTTATTATTAATAAATGAAAACGAAGTTAGTCTTGTGTTTGTGTGTGTCTATATATGTAGTGTATTTCTCTTGTTTAAATACATGGTAAGTCAAAGTTTAATAACCTAATTTATTTTTATGACACTGATTTTGGTTCTAAACTTCAAAACTACACTATTTGTGTAAATCCCGGACTTTGATATTAAGTACATCATGAATATACATGGGAAGACATTAGGTATTTTAATAACTCAGTCTCAAAAGTCTGTCAATCATTACAAATTAAGTTATGGCACTGTAACACACGAGTTCAAACAGTTACAAAGAAATAAGGTAAGCCCACTACATTTTAAAATGTTTCTAAGCAAGTTTAAGTTATACTCTTCTAAACAACTTACATGCAAACACACATATATATCTTAAAACACCTGAATGCTTGTTTGTTTCAACATCAAACATAAGTATATTTTAGACTCATCCAAGGCTTTCACTTTAGCTTCAAGCTTTCAATAGTTTTGACTTCAGACACAGATGAGGAAAATACACATTTTGTGAGGCAACAGTAATTCTGTAATGCTACAAATGTTAATCAACTTGCTCAAACATTTTTTCTTTCTCAAAACATTAGCATAAAATAGAAAATATATATACACATATGTAAGTATGAGACTACTTAGGCAGTTACAGAGTCTGTACAATCAACATGAATTCAACAAAATAAAGATTTTTCATAGTTTTTTGATCTGAAGCTTGTTGTAAAGCACAAAGCTGCACAATGAGCAACCTGTGCTCTGCCTACTGTGGGTATTGAAATCCAATTTTTAGTGATATAAAGCATCAGACTTATCGATTAGTAACTGTGATTGGATGTGGGGGGGGGGGGGTACAGTAGTTTTTTGTAATAAACTGTCAGTTTCAGTATCAAAATGAGTGTTTTTTGATAATATGAGGTAATGAAAGGAAAGTACCACGTTTAGTTTGTTGGAAACAATGTAGTTTCACAAAAAAGTTATGTTTTTTTGATAATATGTGGTTAGTGACACAAAAAATATGCTTAGTTTGTTAGAAATAATGCATTTTCACAAAAACAACAACAAAAAATCATGTGTAGGGTAATTCTAATTACATGATTTCATGAGAAAGGACATACCTGCAATTTTTTGGAAACCTTCATAAATGTTTACTTCAACTGAAGAATTTCTTATTTTATAGGTTCTTAACTCACAAGAGTTTTTTTACCCCACAAAATTGCATAAAATACAATTCTATTATTTTGTTTTGGTCAATATGCATAAAACAAACTCAAGTATACACACTATTCTATTTATTTATACCTTTCCATTTCTTCTTGTGAATGAGCAAAACTACAGTTTGCACCTCTTGGGCAGCTTCCTCTTTGGGTAAGATCTCGACACATATTTGTTTTGTATTTGACATTCAAGATTTGCTTTTCTTCATGAAGTCTTCTATTACCAAAGTTCTCAATAAAATTCACTAAGCCTTTTACTACTTCAATTGCACCCTCCAGTGCATTTTCCAGCTCCTCCCAAGTAGGAATGGGAGAATCTGTGGAATAACAAGAAAGACATTTTTAACCTTGCTAATTTTGGCAATACACTACTTTAATAACTAGAATATTAAATTACTTAGAATACAAATGAATAATTATTTTTTTAAACTTCTTAACTCTTTCTCATTGGGTAGGTCACAGTACACATCACAACCTTTTACAAAGTTACATTCAAAATTTAAACTACTTATTATCAATGTATACCAATAAACTTGGCAACAAAATGTAGTTAATAAATCAAGTTTTAATATTATACAAGTTTTAAGTTCTTCATTTTATAAGTAAATATTTAACAAAATTCTCAATATATCCTAGTGTGAGAATTGTGACATTTGCTCTCTAAATTTTATCCCTTCTCTAATTTATTTACCACCCTTTCAAGAAGTATGGAATTTAATGTAAATTACTTTATGTAATAAAGACATAAGCTTTCTATTTTCTTTCCTTATGGAGTCATACAATATAAAATCAGACTCGCTTGCCACACCTACCTGTCACATTCTCTCTTTCATAAATTGCCAATAGTTATCTCTGACATTTTATGTTATATTATTTATAACCAATAGAAAACCAAAGTTCAAATTATCAAATGACATGTTAATTTCTGTATTATCTATTTTGTCATTCAATTTCATATTTGTTCTCACAGTTATTACATCAATGAGCTTAGCTGAATGTTTAAAGGCTCTTACCACATAAATAGAAAGCCAGAATAATTATGATAGTTATTGGATATTGTCTGCTTTTTAGATGCTATTATTCCATGTTCTTAGGAGCAATATTAAATTAAAAAAAAAAACTTAGTTTAGCGTGGTAGTACTATTAGTATAAGAAAGTAGGGCTAAGTTTCACCAACAGCAAAAAAAGAAGACACCAGGTAAGTACTATATTTATTACAATAAAAGTAACCAAAATGTTAAAATTTATAATAATAAAAATTCTTCACAAGGTAGGTTTGCGAGCAGCTCCTGCATTACTAAGTTCTTCACATTTGCCAAGCAATTTACAACTTGTGTGTAGGGATTGTTAGTTAGACAACATTCAAAGGTCAATAAAACAAAATTAAGTATAAACAGATGTATACTGTTGTTTAAAGGCTCTTACCACATAAATAGAAAGCCAGAATAATTTAACATCTTTACCTCCAAATTTAACAATCTATTTAACAATTACCTCCAAAATGGTAACTTGAACTCCAGAATTCATTGTTAAAAATGAATAATCAAACACAACAGTGTTAGAATAAAAAAATGAAAAACTGGGAAAAAATAAGTTATCCTTAAGTTTGCAAACTTTTGTAAAAATGAAAAGAACAATTCCACTTTGGAATAAAGTACGAAACAGTTCAAAGAAAATAAAAAAATGCTCTAAGTTTAAAAAAAAAAAGAATTGAAGAGCACAATGAAAAACGTCTTGACACGAGCACTGCCAAACAAGAAGTGAGAGTTTGGTAAAACTGATTAGAGGGAGTCACATGCATCAGGAGGATGTGTTGCACTCCTATTGGTGGAGGGTTACTGCATGATGATTTACATGCAAGAAACAGAGAAAAAATAATTATGTGAGAGGTAATGTATTGCATCGGAAGAGCTCATTTTACACTATAATCCAACAAGGGTTATTTTGCAAGTGGCATGCAGCTTTCGTCACAGAGTACATGTGACTGCCTGTAGTATTGTTGACTGCTTGATCAGCTATAGCACTTACAGTTGTTTCTTACCTAAGTATGTTATAGTTACAGATACAGTTAAAATTGTATTTAGGTTTTACTTTTATATTTAGTTAATTATTTATGTTTCAATATGCATAACTGCAAAGTTTAAACGTTTTTTAAATATACATCATACTGTTCTCAAGGCGTACGATATTATACTGTGCACGAACATTTTGCCGAGATGGATGTGCATTGCTGCCAGAGATACTGTAATATGCCTTGAGGGCACCACTGACTCGTGTCAAGATGAATAATAAATGGTAAAGGACTAGAATGGAAAATAAAACATTAAAAATAACTGAAATTACAAATATAACCAAAAGATCTTTAAAGCTGTTTTACAATAAAATTAAAAAGTATGTATTTTTTTATATTTCCTAATTTTAATCATTTCATTGCATTGTGCATTGATGATAATAGCTAGACTTAATGATATGGTAGAGAAAATTAGAAACAAAATATAAACATTTACCTTAAAAAACTTGATATTCATTTAGGAGGTTCTAGAGATTATGCAAATGAAATAAAAATCACCATCAAGAGTTTGATGCAAGTAACTACAATATTTAAATAACATATTTTTAGTAAAAACTTAATTATTTCAAATTAGTTTAAAGCAATATTTTCTCTCTGATATTTAAATAAAAAATTGTGTATGTAAGTCTTAGGTAACAATTTTTTAAGAGTACGATCCACTACTTTTTTAATTGTAGAAGTGACTCCCTCAATCTAATTTCTAGCAATCCCAAGCTAAACTCAAAGTAACTTCTTTCCACATTTCACTTTTTAAAGTTAACTTTTAATAAACTTTTCTTAAAAGAGACTTTGTTTGTTGTGAATTTCGTGCAAAGCTACACGAGGGCTATCTGCACTAGCCGTCCCTAATTTAGCAGTGTAAGACTAGAGGGAAGGCAGCTAGTCATCACCACCCACCGCCAACTCTTGGGCTACTCTTTTACCAACGAATAGTGGGATTGACCGTCACATTATAACGCCCCCACGGCTGAAAGGGAGAGCATGTTTGGTGTGACGAGGATTTGAACCCGCGACCCACAGATTGCGAGTCAAGCGCCCTAACCACCTGGCCATGCCGGGCCACCTCCTAAAAGAGAAGTCATATTCTAACCTGGATTGGGGTCAATTGCTGCTAACAGCTCTAAATGGGGTCTTAGAACAGACAAACTTCCTGGATCTCCGGTACGCTGCAAAGCTATCACTAGTTCCTGAACACTTTGAGCAAATGACTGTGGGGTTTGTAGCTGTAAAAAATGGAGAAAAAGATATCAAACACTCATGTATTACTTTTCTTTTTTGACAGATAAAACATAATGTGATATTTTTATTGCTTGGACATGCCCTTCATAAGTGAAATAGAAAACTTTTTTATACCCATTACCATATAAAACGTATGTGACAAATATGTTACACTGATCAAAGGAATATTTAGTCTTGCTTTTTTTTTTTATTCCTGTGTGATGATCTTCATAACAAGGACGTTTATTACACTATTCTACAAATAAAGGTAATCAGAAGAATTAATACACATAAGAATTGATACTTTCTGGACTATATATACTGTTATGTATACATAAAAAAAGGACAAATAACTTTGTCATTTGTTTTATTTTGGAATTTATTTCATATTAATCTAAACTTTTCCTAACTGAAAATTTTGCCAGCTGTACACATCTCAAAATATTACATAAAAAAAATCAAATTATAATTTATCCCTTTTTGAAGTTATCATGTTCCACACATACATGCAACAAATGTGTGTGCACCATTATAATAATAATAATAAATAATAATAATAATAATTTTTACATGTTTCCTTACTCTGTCTTAGTATTTCAATAAATAATTTTTTTTTTTTCACAATTTAATATGAAAGATTACATAAGAGCCTGCTAGGCTATCCAGTTTTGATCAAGAGCAGAAAAACAAAGTTAAACCAAGTTGAATAAACAAAATAAAATTTGGGGCTAATTCCATAACTGATATTTTGAACAAGCTTTCAAGCAAAATGCATTTGAATATGAAGATTATGTTAATTATAACTATGTAGAACATTACATAACCAGCAACATAAACCATATCAAAAGCAGAAAAGATGTACAACAGATTGCACTTTATATAAATTAAATAGCCATGCAGTGCAGTCTTCATTGAAGAAGACTCCACTGTAAGACTGCCATTTACAAAGCACACCATTCCTTGCTGCATACCTTACATAACCCATCTAATGTACAAGGATGACAGTTTACAAGATCCTGTTTCAAGCAACTAGACTGGTATGTCTTTGTATGAAATAATATGAATATCTAGCTTACTTTGCAGCTGAACACATCTTTATGTTCTGAGTATATAAATATTTTGCATTGGAAAAAGCTGTTACATACCCTTCCCAAAAGCAGTCAATTTTCAGTAGCATAACACTAGCTATGAAACACAGAATAATAACAAAATGTAGTTCTGTTTGTTTATCTGAAGTTAAGCACAGACCAACACAATGGGCTATCTGTGCTCTGCCCAGTATCGAAATACAGATTCTAGCATTGTAAGTTTGCAGACATATCGCTGTGCCACTGGGGAGTAAGTAGTTCTGATACAATCAATTCTACACAACTTTATGTCATATCAAAAATAATTTTAATATATTGTACTCAAATTTCTATACTAAGACAACAGAATTTTATTCCACAAATCATTTTACTGTTGTTATGATATAAACCTTGTTTATTCTTTTATTCCCCCTTCTTTTGATGTTTAGTTCATTTTCAATAATCCAAATTTTACCCTATTGAATTTCTTTCATGCAGTGTTCAGCTTCAGTAACATTCAATTATACCTCATCATAAAAAAAAGTTGGTGGTCTTTTGTATTCATTAATGTAAACCTGGAGAAGTCTACTAGTTTCCCAATGTATTGCTTCCCAAAACTACATTTTATGCTAAAACAACAGTTTATCATTCAATGTTGGATCTTTGTTTTAATTCATAGGTCTCTTAAAGACAAATACCATATATGTTTAAGTTTAGGTCCGGGTTCTGGACGGAAAGGCAATAAAGCAGTTAATGGTTAATTGTTTCCTTTTTTTTTTTTTTACACAACGACTTTACTGATGTTTCTTGGCAGATCTTAATTGTTGGTTGGCAAATGAAGTAGGGTAATCATTTCCACAAAAATAAAAAAAGTGAAATGTATGTCTTTGTACGGAATGGTATTAATACCCATTTCATTCTAAAGATAATTCAGGTATGCAAAATCAAATGTGGGGTATGAAGATGGAGATCTTACATGATTGTGTCACATGCTGATGACTGGAACGAATGGATGGCTTTTGCTACTGATCTTTGTTTTACTTCTAAGAAAGATTATAAAAACAGAGATCTCATCAGAAGAAACATGTGATAATACTTTTTTGAAACTTGCGAAGAATGGAAAGAATCAAACTTTCAATACCGGTCTTTGTGTGTTGATTTTTTATTTATCTTTCTATCTAGGTCTCATCTGTCTTTTATCACCAGAATTTCAAATAAGGGATGTTGCTATCATTCTCTACTTCAATCATGAACTGGATGGACAGATGCTAGTTGTTTAGATAATCACACAACAGTGTCGTAGAATTTGAATTAATAATAATAACGAGTTTTGAAAGAGATGTAGCAATATTTTCTTTATCCAAATTCTCCATAAAGATTTAGCAAACAGAAGAAGAAAGAGGAGAGCCTACTAGCCTGCCATTCAACATTATGTAAAACATATTTTCAAATAGAGTAAAAAAAAGAAAGGCACTTAACTAGAAGTCTCATAATAAAAGATTTAGATAGAGTTGTACAAGTTGTTAAAATTGTGCTAGCTTCAATTATTTTATGAATAACCGTGACAACATCCTTGATCAGAACTCTAGTAAAGAGAAACTCTGCATCAAAACTAAATAAATTACCATCATTAATCTTTACGTCATGCAGTTTCTGTATGAGATCAAAATAATTCCTAAGATTGTATGGTAACCCAACAGTCAATTGGTGTTATATGTAGGACTGCTGATGTAGTTCATGACTGGTCTCACTGATACATTTGGTTTGTGGTTTGAGTATTGCATAGGAGATCTAGCATTGGTGGAAGGTAGTTTTCAACAAATGTCTTCAGTAATTTCTTTCGATCATGATCACTTACAAATTTAAGTTCCTTTTTTAGCCACTAGTAACAAGATATGGATAACAGAACTGAAAGATGAATGAAATGCCTTGAAAGAACTTTGGAATGAAACTAAGAAAATAGTAATTATTCCTTATGATAAAAAGCATAGCAACTTTTATTATGGACAGGACTAACTATATTGACAAAGTGACACCTGTTGTAGATTTTTCTGTACATAACAAAGTTAACTGTTGCACACTATGTAACTTTCTACACTGTTGTGTTTAATATAGTATTCTTAATCAAATTGTCTCTCACGTGACAAAGAGTTTATAAAGTGAGCTTGAATGCATGCATTAAATAAATATACCGTGGAGTTATCCCCTGAACTTATATTATAACATTACTAAATTATGCTCAGAATTTTATATATTAACAAATCTATGAGATTTATAAAAGTATTGTTGATATTAAACTTTCTTTATATATGGCAAAAAATCCTTTGACATTAATTGAAGCTCTTTGATGGGCAAGATAAAAGATTTATACCAAAGCCTTAATAATTTTTCAAATGGTGATTAAATCTTAAGCTGATTCATATACACAAAGACTAATGCTCAACCTTAAACACGTCCATTCAACTTCCTTATCTGAACAGCATACAATGAGGAATAGAACCACTGTGGTAATTGAATTACACCAGATAGTACCATTGTGGCAATGAATTATACACAAAGACTAATGCTCAACCTTAAACACGTCCATTCAACTTCTTTATCTGAACAGCATACAATGAGGAATAGAACCACTGTGGTAATTGAATTACACCAGATAGTACCATTGTGGCAATGAATTATACACAAAGACTAATGCTCAAACTTAAACACGTTCATTCAACTTCCTTATCTGAACAGCATACAATGAGGAATAGAACCACTGTGGTAATTGAATTACACCAGATAGTACCATTGTGGCAATGAATTATACCAGATCCAATATCTTGGAAGTCAAAGCTTATTTTATAGATCTAGGTCTTAAATATCAACCATAACAATATAAAATGCAGTTGCACTACTACATTGACAATCAATAAAACATCTATTTCTTAACATATTTGTTAAAGTTTAGCCTAGTTGGGGCCATGGTTCCAATTTTTTTAGCTCAAATTACACATCTCGTATACTTATCCACTTATAGTAAAGTACAGTACATGATTCATGTATTTCTATAATGATACAGCAGTCTACTATTTTAAGAATTTTTGTTTATAACTAAAGAAATCATTCAAAGATTTTGACTGAAAGTCATTACTATTTGTTAAAGAGTAGAAGAAAATACAAAATTAGAGAAATGTAACAATTTTTTAGTTTTTCAATTATAAAAATAACAAAAAAGGTAATATTCTTACTTTGTCTATAATTGACTGCATGTGAGACTTGTGAGCTGTGTCACCATAGAGGAGTGAAGACCATTGTTCTGGAGCAATACGAAGACCGGCTTCTGTTGCTATCTGTACAATCTGGGCATCATGTTCTCTTCTTAAGGCTTCATATGTTTGGAATTCTTCTTTTAATTGCATCAAAGAAGAATCACCATCTCTTTTGGAAACCTTCAAAATTGAACAAACAAAATATTTTGTAGTTTATAATCTTATTGGGATTTTGCACTTAAATAGTGAATATAAAATACATCTATTAAGAACACACTTTTGAAAGTCACTGGCAGGCTACTATACTCAAGTAATACAGTTTCTTTTATTCTTTACAGAATGACATTTGAGTAATTCAACACACATTGCTCTAATAATGTTACAGTGTTTTACTGAGCGGATTATTTTACATATGCTTTTAACAAGACCATGATCCTTTTGGATTTTAATAAATTCTCTCAAAATAATCACAAATATTACTAAAAGTAATTAGCTTTTAATTTTTCCAACTTTCAAAGAAAAATTTTATTTGTTTTTTAAGTACTACAGAACATTCAAGTTTAAAAAAATTCATGACCCAAGCACTTTACAAAAACTTATCTTCCAAAATTACTTGTTTATAGATTTTTATACATTTGTAATATACCTACTTTTAATAGCTCATGTGCTTTGTGAGTATCATGATCAAAATGACTAATGAGAGGAAGTGATTACATACTCTTGTTTCTGATAACTTATCATGGACACATCTAGACAAATAAGGGTTAAAAAATATTTTCTAAATCTGTACAGTATGTTAAATTGTACATATTATACTAAAATTAACCTGTTCAGGTCTTTACAAGTTATTTTATAAATTATGTATTATTGTGTACTGCAGTATTTGGAACAGCTTTATTCTAATAATAAACATAGCTCTGAAGAGAAAAGATTACAAGTTCAGAAGAGTATTTATCCTTATTTACTTGAAGTTTAGATGAGAAACAGATTTTAATTATTAGAAAATTAACTACTGACTATACAACAGAAACTAGATTGACCCATGGAAGAACTTTGTTTTCTAAAATAAAATAAAAGACAACTGTAACAGTAACAATATGAGGGCACAGCAAAAATTGCTTAGGCATACATTTTTATCATTATTGCCTATCAAAATCATACTACCTTCTAAAAAATAAGGTATTTTTATACCATTCTTAAAATGAGTAAGAAAGATACATTGAAGAAAAAAAACTAAAGTTTCACACAACAAAATTATTATAATATTGCAGCATTTGATTTGCCATTGTGAAGCACCCCATACTTCATGATGTAATTGTTGTTTTTTTAGACCAAGGCTAATCAACTGGTTATTTGTGCTCTATCCATGTGGGGAATCAAACCCTGGATTTTAGGTTGTAATTCTGTAATTAACAAAAAGTATCTTTAGAATGAAATTATTCATGTTTAATTTTCAATTAGCCAAATCTTAACAACAAATTTTCATCAGTTTTTATGTTTGAATGTCATGAACTTTGAATAACATCACTCGTAGTCCCACTTTCAAAGATTCTTAACTATTGCAATTCTTTTGATGTAATGTAATCAGAAGTTGTTAAGTGTTTTTACCTTCTACACTGGAAGGTGCTTGTTTATTCCATTCTATCTCGTGACTATAGCAAGACTTGAGTCTCTCAACCCGGAAATTTCCTGTTCCATTTTATCTAGCAACTATAGCATGACCCGAGTTACTTTACCTGGAAACTTCTCATTCATGCTGTTTAGTAACTAAAGGAGGATGTGAATCACTTCACTTGAAAATTTTCTATTCCTTTTTATCTAATGACTACACCAGGATTTCAGTCACTTTACCCAGAAACTTCCTATTCCATTCTTTCTTGTTACTAAAGTAGGACTTGAGTCATTTTATCTGAAAGCTTTCAATTCCATTCTGTTTAGAAACTACAGTAAGACTTAAGTCACTACACCTGGAATCTTCCTATTCAATTCTATCTAGCAACTGGAGCAGTTGATTCACCTCATCCGGAAATTTCATATTCCATTCTATCTTTTGACTATAATAGAACCTGTGTCACTTATCCTGGAATTGTCTTGTTTGTTTTTTGAATTTTGTGCAAAGCTACACGAGGGCTATCTGCACTAGCCGTCCCTAATTTAGCAGTGTAAGACTAGAGGGAAGGCGGCTAGCCATCACCACCAACTCTTAGGCTACTCTTTTACCAACGAATAGTGGGCATGACCATCACATTATAATGCCCCCACGACTGAAAGGAGCGAGCATGTTTAGTGGGACTTGGATTCGAACCTGTGACCATCAGATTGTGAGTTGAGCACCCTAACCATCTTGCCTGGAACTGTCTTAATACATAGTATCTACTGGTTAACTTTAAGCATTTATTTTTTAAGCTAAAATGGTCAATTGGTGTTTTTTCTAACTTTTTTCAATTAATTAAAGGAGAAACCCACTACAATTTTAATAATATACATAATTTACCTGATGTCAAAAGAAAGCAAGAAGTTAACAACCAATTAACTTTAAAATTTTCCATGATATTTCAACTAATATTAGTATTTATTCTTCAAAAGATGGATTAATAACAAATTCCCAAATATTAAATAATTATACCTGTTAGAAATTTTAAATAAGTAAAGAGGTCCGTCACAAAAATCCAATGCCTAATATAAATTAAAGACACTAATATGTTAAGTTTATTACAACAAACACATTTATGGATCTAATACAAGTTAATAAAGTAGAAAGTTAATAGCATACACATTTCTAATGTCTGCCTTTATTTTTGACAATGTGACAATTTGTGAAATGTTAAAATTTTACTAAAACCTTTCATCTTCACACCTTGAGAACTTTTTGCAAAAAGTAATACTGATGACCAAGCAATTTTAGTTTGAAGATTAAAACAACAAAAAAAATCCCACTAAGTATTTTCCTTTTATTAGTACAAAAAATACACTGAAGTTAAAAAAAAGTTTAAAATATGTGAAATATCTTATGGCTAACTCATGATACAACTACAAGGCACACAGACAACAAAAGATATGCAATATAACATATATCATATTTCTAAAGACTTTTGTACTGTAGACAATAATATATAAACACTTACACCAATATGTTATCACTATATAAACATACAAGCTGAAATACATGTGAACTGATAGGGAATATTCAAACTTAATTAAAACAACATAAGTGTAACAGCAATCATATGTTTCAAAGTAATAACTTTAACATAAATTTTATCTCAAAATTTTAAAATTATAACAAAGTTTCCACATAAACAACATTTACAGTTTGCTTTCCATCTACCAACAAATAAAGATTTTGAGGTAATCCCACCCTTGACATATTGCACTAGAACAGAGCTAAGTGATAATAAACTCTTTGTAATTAAAAAATGTCAAAGAGCCTGACAAAATTATCAGGTAGGTAATATCAGATATTTACAAATTACAATAACACTCCTTTTGTAAATAAATAAAAGAAACAAATCCACAGCTACAACTTAAAGCAATGACAGAAAAAAACAACACAATAACAAGTAATAATAATAATAATAATAAAAAAATCCAAATATTACAGTTAAGCTTCTATAAATTACATTTTATCTGAAAGTATCACAAAATATGTAAATTATTTCACAATAATGTTTGACACAAAAGAGACAATAGTCTAATATAAGTATGCATCTTATCTCGAATCAAGAGGTTTATCATTTTAAAAAATAATCCTGATAAAATTAATTACTGAGTTTTGGAGTAACAGCTGAAATTATCTTATCACAAAGTTAAAATTTTAATAAAGAGCAACAGCAGTCATGATTGACATTACAGCTTAGTGAATATAACATGTATACCTTGAAGCATGAAGCTCGATATAACAGCTGAACAACATGACCTATACTGGTTTTTGAAGCCTGTGGAAAGTGAGGAGCTAGTCTTTGGACCACAAACATGACAAGCACTTTCCTAGACAAAGCAGATCCATCTTCAAGAGCTAGAAGAACCAGCTTCAAGACTTCCTCCTGCATAGCTGGAAAGACAGCCATCCTACCACCATTAAATTCTAAATTTCTTATGTGGAAAAACAAGATATGGTTAAACAATGCAATAAACTGGCTTACAATCTTGTTTTTGTTTCTTAATGTAATAGTTGGGATGATGGAGAATAAGGGTTTTGTCAGCAAATATTATGATTGTTCAACAATAAGAAAAGTCATACATTTACTTTAGTCAATCCTTTTTGAACGGCTCATTTTTTCAAGATGCTTGTTAATTAAAACTGAAACCACTTCCTACACAACTTACCAGCATTCTATATTTCAGGCATGAGAATAGGCAAAAACGAAAAAAGGCCGAAAAAGCTGGGGGTATCCAAGGTAGTAGTGGGCATGGAGGTCAAGCCCCCTGAAGCACCTGCATGTCAACAAATTAGAAATTCATGGTTTATATGAAAAAAAAAAAAACTAATATATTTCCAGTTTCCATAATTATCGAAAGTTCCATTGTTTTTTTTTCAAGCCAGGCTCATCAAAAATAACATTTATATCCTTGTCAATTTCTTTGATTTTAGCCTTGTTATTTCTTTCGATAGTTTTTGCCATAACTTTTTCTAAATTTATCATCTTGAATGATGCTTTCCTACCACTACTGATATAATGCAAGCATCCACTATTTTTTAAAAGTATCAGTGGTTGGATATCACCACATAGGACAGCCAATCTTAATCTAATCTCATTTGTTGTTGGATGAATATTCTGACACTTGGTCAATCATAAACTTAATACTTTGGGAAGAAGGATAGAGAAACACAATACAGATTTGTCCAATGAGCATTCTACTAATTGATCAGCAGACTGAAAATCTACATTATTTCCCCGTTTTCCTTCTTAGTTTCACACAAATCAGAATTCTGGTGATCTGCAGAAATTTCTCATGCTCTATATTTGCTACAAACTATGCAATCCCAAGCTAACTGACACTACCTTCATGCTTGTAGACCTATAATATGGATAAAAAATAAATTTCCTGTCATTTCTGACTGAAACCTTGATTAGCAAAATAAAGGATTTTTCGTATATTTTTAGAGAACACCTTGTTAGAAAAGGATCAAATAAATGTGGCAATAGATTATGATCACAGCATTTTTACTTTTAAGCTTGCAATATTATGGAAGATAATTTATCTATGGAAGCTACTGAAAAGTTATTTCTAGTAAAGATGAATTTTCATAAATACTCTTTTCATACAAAATTCTACATCTTACTAGATTTAATTGTACACATTTTACCTCAATTCAAGAATTCTTCTAATAAAAATACTTTGTTTTTGTTAACTTATATTCGTATTTTCATAGTACGGATTTAATATTACAATAAGATTAACTAACAAAATACTCTGTTTTCTTTACCTTAAATTTTTGCTCAATACTCTAGTTCATCAAGTTTGCTGGATTACACCACACACAGTTTTTAAAGCAAATCTTATTTAAATTTGTATCAGTCTTATTGAGTGCAATAAGGCTGATAATAATTATAGTCAAATGCAGTGGCATAGCCGAGTGGGACTGAGCCCCCCCCCCCAACAGGTTTTCCAATACCCTCTTATGTAGTGATATAAATAACTTAAATAACTGATACATTCAATATCTATTTATTTTTATTAACATGCTTTAGTCAAACAAAATTGTAGAATTTAACACCAAGTAAGATTTTCAATTGAATATATATAAATCTCATATCCTCCTTTCTGTTCATTCAGTAGAGAAAAGTTATAAAATAATTTTGGAAAAATTGTAAGAGAGTTGTCAGGTTTGGAGACAGTATGATTACTAATTGTAATTACATTTGGTTTTTGGCACAAATTCAACTGGTTACTGGTAGATTCCAAAACATGGACGTATGATGTTTCCACATAAGTACCCCAAACATCTCATAAGTCATCATTTCTTTTCTGCTGTTTATATTTTTATTTATTCGTTAAAGAAATGAATACATTTGCATACAAAGAGCTTAACTGACTCAGAAAACTGCCACAGGAGACTAAATACAGCAAGCTTATAACTAATGGTGGCTTGAAGTGCAAAGTAACTGACAACCAAAACACAGAAAGGAATAGAATCACCACCCAACTTTTTAGATACCACTTGACAGCCAAAACCCCTCAATACCTAACTGAAATTTTTTCATCTTATTAAAATAAAACACCAATGATTAATCAAACCATTATTACTCATATATAATCTTAGCTTTTTTGCACCTATTTTAATTTTTAAATATCAGTTGAGTAAAGTTCAGAAATTCTCTTTTTTGTCATGTTTGGTGAGAAAACATCTGGCATATCATTGTCTGTTCTTTAGGATCACCTGAAGCCATACAAAGCACCATCATCATCGTCAACTAAATTTTACATATTTTCTGTATTTGTATCAGTTATATCATTTTTTCTTCTCTTCATTAGTGATTTATACTTATCAATAAAAATACTGTTTTCAAATTTATCAAACGTGTTTGGTATATACATTTTTGTTGTTTTGCTCCAAATAAATTGTAAAATTTTCATCCAGAATACTTTCCTTAATATATTCAAATTTTTCATGTTCTGTACCTAAGTTGACTTTATGTTACATGAAAGTATGATTTATTTAAGAAGATTAAAAACCCCATTTTTAAAAATGTTTTAGGTCAAATAATCAGGTTTCTATATTGAAATCTAAGTGGAATCTGATTGACAAGCACCTCATCTAGATGATGATATCATTCTACCTATTTTATCAGACAAGCCTTCCAGCAGCTCTTAATGTAGTACATTTGAGTTTGCCACCTACAAAAGAAAGAAAAGAAGAAGAAGAGAAAGATAAGAAGAAGCTTTAAATTTAACTTCAACAGCTCTATTTCATCAGATGATCAGCCAAACTGACCCTTTCTAAATGCCTAACCTAAAACAACTCTGGGAATCAAAAGAGATGTTTCCAAAAGATTTGGTATGATAAATTCAGATGCCTTAAATATTCAACTGAGAATGACAAGTACTACAGCTATCCGTGTTACATATTTGGTCCCACTGATATAAAAATTGACACAATGCATTGGATTTGAAGAAAGGGTTCATAATGCATGAGTTCTGTGAGCACTATACTGATGTGATGAAAATATGGGATGATAAGCTGAAGAGATTGAATTCAGGTCAGAGAATCAATCAACTATTGTTTTCAAGTTCTGATAATAAAATATGGTTAAAACATTATTTCATATTATTAAGTTTATATTAGCCAATGGCCTTCCATTTCATTGGCTAAATGAAGAAACAACTTTCCTAAATAAAGCAAAAAGTGCTGTGTTTATTGTTTAAAATTAAACTGGTATTTTATTGATTTGCCAGAAACTTGACCAAAAATGCTAAATAAGTATTACCAGATATCCAAAATGATGTAATAAAAGTACTTTCAGATCTAGTTAATCAATCGCCAATGAGGTAAAAAAAGTTAGGTTTTAAAATGTCTGCATTGACGGCACAAATGACAACAATTTTCAGGAAATACAAGGCATAATTGTTAGATATTTGTCAGAATGCAGCCAAATATAAGTACATATTTTTAATCTAGAAAAAACCGATGACAGAGTCTTTAGACTTGTTAAAAAATCCATTAAAGTTGCAAGAAATTGGGATGGATGAACGAGTTCCTCAACCTTATGTTGGTAATCCTGTAATGTTGGGGATTTGTGGAGGCCTTCAAGCATTAATGAGCACATATTATGAAAGAGAGCTTAAGCATGTTCATTGTCAGTGTCATCTTGTTTGTTATCTATGCCTTGTATAACATTACTGAACTTAATGAAGGCTCAAGTATGAAATGGCTTGTTGACATGAGATGGTTAGGACACTTAAATGCTATCAATACGATTAACAAAACTCTGAAGCCACCATAACAGTTTTGAAAAGTTCAGTTAAACAAAAAACTTGAAGCTGATCAAAGATCCCAAACAGTTAGTCTTCTGAAAAGTATAAACATGGATCAGTTCATTTTCCTCGGTCTTGTTCTAGATGATATACTCAAGAGCACTGAGTAGCAAACAAAGTGCTCCAGTCACAAAAATAAACCTCCTATCAGCAATAATAATTATCAGCAGCATGAGATCATAGTTAGGATAATTTAAAGAGAAATATGCAAATAGTCACATAGAAAAGCTGATATATGATGTCAGGCAGTGAAAAGAAATTAAGCAGCTCACCTGGATGAATATATTGTAATAAGCCATCTTCCAAGGAATCATTGAGGACTATTAATTTAAATGTTTGACTTACTACAAAGAAAGCTTGAAAGAATTTTTTTGAACAGAAATATCAACATTTGGCTTGCAATAGTTAGTTTAGTTACAGGATCTAGTTTTTTCATAGACCCTGAAAAAATTATGTTTATATTCCAATATGCTTTACAAATTCTAACCATCAAAGTACGGATAGAAAACTGCAAAAATGCAGAACTTCCAAGTTAATGTAGGGTTTTTTAAGAAACCCTTTAATTGTGTTAAATGGGAACTGAACGTGTTAAAAGTTTAAATGAGGTTGCATTCTTTATGGTCAATAATTATGATCAGTCAGCCATTATTCTTAAACAGCTACACAAGCTAGGTGTAACTGTTGGATACATATCAGTGTGAACTGAGTGTGCATTTTCAACATAATCACAAATCAATACACCAATGTGCTGATCTATGACACCATATAGAGAGACAAGCCTCACTCTACTACATTTTGATAAAAGCATTCTCAATTCATTAGACTTCAACAAATGTTTAAATAACTGGAATCTAAAATCAAGGAAACTCATTGACGGTTAATTATGTACATATGATAATTTTGAATAAAAATGCATATATATTGAGATAAAAATACTGTGTTCCTTATTTACAAATTCATTGCAAGTATATTGTTAATGCTCATTTCTATTTTTATGATTCCGTACATAATTACTCATGTTGAAGAAAAATGGTACTGTAAGAAACAAATTTTATTTAGAAAAAATGCTTAAATTTTCTGAAAACTGGCCTTGGTGACATATATGTAGTTAGGATGACTTAATGGCAAAATGCAAAAAATGCCTCTAAGAGAACTCAAATCTAACATAACATTTATTGAAATTAAGCTCCCCATCCCAAACTTTCTTTAGCCATTCCCCAGGTCGATTAGTCTGGCTATGCCACTGGTCACGTGACTTTTTAACCAGTTAAAATTGTTAATTATAACATTTCAATTACACTATTTGACATATGACCTATGATATTGCAAGCTATACAAAAAGTGTTATAAATAAAGCAAAAAAATAAACCAAATGTATGAAAAATAGGCTTAAAAATAATTAATTTAATTACTTATGTGAAATATTTCACTATAATGTATACAAGCATTTTTTTGAAACTCTTGTACTAACCTTACCAATGGTGTTGACCATATGCAGAAATCACTGGCCTTGGTAATAATGTAATAAAATTCAGTTGTTTTCATTAGTTTTACATATTTTTATCTAAAAGTTTATTTCCACAAAGAAATAAATATATATGAAAAACAAAGTATTAACAGTTAAACACAGGGGTAGAAAAATACTTATGAGTGAAATTAGCATCTATTGATGTTAAACTAATCCTAATCAGGTACAAGTTTCAAGACAAGCTAATATATTAATGTAAACAGCAAAGATATTTTCGAGAGCTAGGTAATTTAATCAATTACCTATGAGTAGTGATCACATCAATTAGTGTCACTTAAGATAATCTAATAATCAAAATTACAATTAAACAATTAATCAAAATTATGATTAAACCAGTTGTCATGAAAATTACCAACTGTTCAATTAGTGTTTCTGATTATTACCAGCTTTGATTATTGCAACCATCCAAGTAATTGAAATATTGCCATTAAACTTGCTTGCACTGTTTTTGTTATAGCAAAGCTACAAAGGCAATCTGCATTGTCACTAACTTTGAGCTGCTAAATTGAGGGAAGGCAAATGGCTGGCAGCTGCTGGCATCAATTCTTTTTTGCTTGTAGGTCAAATGGTTTAAGAAACACTGTATTAATTGATTAATCAAATGTAACTGATTAAGAGGGCTGTCAATAAATCAGATAACCAAATACCATTAACTACCCAGCTCCAATTTTTCACTAACATTGGAAAGGAATATTTTTTGTAACTATGACCTATGTTACAGAATAAAATGCAAGAAAAGAATTTATATACCCTTAGTTTTTATTAAATATGATAAGAAAATACATGCACTCTTTTGACAAATAAAATTGATTAAAATACTTGTACTTGTTTTACCTTTTCTTCTCAAACAAACACACAGCTTTTGATTCAGAAAATAACCGAGTTAATAAATTACAACAAACAATAGCACAGTATACATGAAAATATTGCTATTATTTCATGATATATTTGTTAATATACAATAATTAACTATCACAGCATAATTATCAACAAATTAAAAATCTAAATTATAAAGTTTCATCACTAATACTTGCCTGGTCCTAGAAATTGGCAGCCCCTAGCTCTGACTGCTGCCCACAGATTAGCAGACAGTTGTTGAGGGTTTTGATGCTGAAGGATGAGCTCAGTCACAGATCTCTCTCCTAACGATCGAGCTGCTCTCATTGCACGTGTTCTTCCTTCATCTTCTAGTAGCTGAGAGTTGATCAAAGTGACAAGTTTTCGCTGCATGGGTCTACTTAGAGCACTTCCCTGGCTGGCCGAGTTTCCAGCTTTAATATCAGAGAACAATATAAACAAGACTAGCACCCATATTATACTTCAATCATTATATTACTCTGAAAAACAACATCACATAAATGCATAGTCAAGAAAAAAAGCTCAAAGTTCAAGTTTTTAAATTAAAACAAATGTTAAAATTACTGTGTTATGGTAAATTTGATTTCTATGGTCTTGGTTTATTCACTGTGTATGGAAAAATCTGCAAATGGGTTACATATGTTGTAAGACAATTATAATGGGTAATGTCACAGTCAAGTTCACCTCAAACGTTCTTATTCAGACTAATATCTAGTGACTGTTCTGGCCAAAAAGAAAAAAAGACTGAAATGAAGACACCCATGCTCTCGGATTGAATTTCATACAAACATAAAGTTTGTGGAACTTTTCACTATAAAAAGCAGTAGTATTCTGCGGTGAACATGCTCTGCAACAATGTTGTTATACTTTGGATATTATTCTTACTCTCAAGAAATCAACATAAATGTTATGCAAAAGTGACCTAACACACATATAATAGATTCGATTAAATGACAAAGATTTCACTTTCTTTTAAAGAATTAGTGATGAATACCAGATGTGTATTCTAATTTTAATCAATGGAGATCACTGTTATGTGTTAGGATATAACATTTTCATAACAGTAAACTATTCATTATTATTCAAAAAAGGACAGTTAATGGCCTAGGTAATTTTTGCTTAACACAAATTTTCCATTTTAAAAGTTGGCAAGAAACAGAATAATATACAAGTCAAGATTCCAATACATTTTTATAGATTTATTCAAAAAACAACTGCTGAAACAAGTATTTTTAGTCTAATCATAAAGTCACTCAAACACTCTGGAGGAATAGCCTCTGTCCACTGCCCCAGCAACTGGAAACTGGAAGTGGTAAGAACTCCCCAGCTCCACCAGTAGGTAATAAGGTAATGCACACTGGAGAGTCCTGAGGAACAGTGCAACAGGCGAACCAAATTCCCTAAATTTTTAAAAGCAAACCAGCCCCGATTTATTCAATGCGATGATTGGCAGGATCCATTATGCTTTACTTATGATTGTTCATCAGTGGCAGTCCAGCATAGTGCAGTAATACCACCTGATCAGCTCCTTGGTGGTCTTATGGAACACCTCATTACTACAGAGCCTGTTGCAAACTGTACAAAGTATATTGAATTAGTGGTTGCTAGTGCAGAATTGATTTGAAAAAAGCACACCTGCACGGGCAACAATCACCACTGAGTAGGATCCTGTGAAAACAAGTTAACTAACCCTGAAATGTAGCAATGAAAAGACTTATCTTCTGTATAATCTAGCTGAAATGGTTAAGATAGATACAGGAGGTAGGCAAAACCCTCAGATGAAGAGACTGCCAGATCAGGCAAATAATGCGAGATAAAATTATTGGGGGAGATCCACATACCAGTCTGCACATTGACCTCCTGCAGGCAATTTGACTGTGCCACTAAACACATAGAAATGTAACAAATCTTATTAGATGTGACTTGCAGAAGAATCCTTGTCTTCAAAGAGAGCCCAGAAGATCAAGCATCTCTAAAGGCATTAGAGCAGGCAACAAAACCTTCAAGACTTTTACTGAACATGACCATGATTGAAATCTGATTGGACATAGAAGTGAGAAATAGTGATAAGATGAAAAGGACTCCTGTCTGACATTGTCTTGCGTAAGAAGAACTGGTCTGAGGATATATAGAAAATAGAAAGCAGTCTGTGGACAAACAGAAAATCACTCCGACCAGTGATGTCTGTAGGTTAGCAGCCATGAAAAATAAACCTTCAGGTAAAGGAGATACATGGCTCTTAAAAGTCAGGGCACAAATAGGTGTTGAGAAAGACCCTGTACTGTATTCTCAATATACCTGTTAGGTAACCAGAATTGTCATTTGGGACCAAGGACCCAATGTTACTCGAGGAATCGAGAGAAACGGGGACTCAAATGTTATGTAGTTGCAATAATCAAACAGTAGTCAATAAAGACTCCTTAAACAGGGCAACTGTGGAAGATGCAAAAACCTCTGCCAAAGAGCCAGGTCAAAAAACAATTTATGGTTGGCACTTCTGCCTGAAATGGGTTCAACCTCCTCTCAATACACCATTGCCAAACATTCATCTCTGAGTAAGCAAAAACTCAGAACAGATACATGACAACCTTAGAAATTAAACCCCAATGCTGTGCCAAAGATTGCATAATCTCTATGCCTGAAACTTGAGCTTCTGAATAGCCAAAAAAAAAGAAGTGGAAGAGGAGGACACTCCAGAAGGTACTGTAGAAGCAAGAACTAGGACCCAACAATGGTTTGGAACAAAGCATATTTAGTACCCTATGTAACATGAATTGGAGGGAAGGTCCATAGTTGTAATCCCATCCTTTCCTGACGGAATGAATCCACTGCCAAAGCCTGAAGGTGAAATATTGGAGACCAAATTGCCCATAGTTGGGTGATCCAACTATGGGCAATAGCTAATCTCAATGCTAATCTTCTTTACTTAAAAACAAATGATGTCAAAACAATAGTTTTTTCTGAGATCAATGTCATTCTATCAAACATGGAAATATTAAATGTGAAAAAAGCAAAGCAAAGCAATTGGATTAGTACTTCAACTGGGTGGGCTCCTTAACTTGCCATTAGACAAGAATGTTTAATAACTAAAATACACAGATTCAACACAAATTTCATTGTTTCAAAATTGTGTAATATCAGTCTATGATACAAAGGTTAGCTAAGTAAAATTTACTGCAGGCAAATAGAATACTCACATTGTGTTAATGGTTTTAGGTACAAAGCTAGTTCTTCTACATATTTTCTTGCAGCCATGTAATGCTCCCTTGCTTCTCCTTGTAATGTAGAGACTACAGGCTTATCCAAAATGGTTCCTCCAACCAGTTGAAGTAATGCATAATTTTCTGGCAGTTGACTGATGTCAATACTGATAGATGTTTGATCAAATGGGCATTGCTTCCGTTGTAGTTTTGAGAGACAACTTCGACAAAAGGTATGTCCACATCCCAAACTGATGGGTCGTCGCAAAGATGGTTCAAATTCATTGTAGCAAATGGGACAAGAAAGAAACTCCAACCACTGTGGAGCTTGCACAGGCATATTTTCAGCTCATGAGATTTCCTGCATTCAATGAGGAAATCAAAATTAGAAGTAGATGGTCAATGTTGCAATTGAAGTAAACATATTACCCACAATTATTACAGTTACCACTGGCTTACTTGCTATTTCTCCTATTTGCACATACAACAATACACGTAAGCAATTAATTTTTCTAAATACAACAATGATCAATTTTGTTAGTTTTTTTACCATATACCAGTATTTATATCTGCTTTTTTTAAAAAGTAGATGTTTTTTAATCTGTTAATCAAATTGTAAAATAAGGCTGCTAGTCCTAAGAACATATACTAAATAAACAAAAAAAAACATAAATAGAAATTCTAATTTCAATCACTAAAAACTGTAGTTCCAATTGTTTGTTTATCTAATGTACAAATAATACCTTAATGGTCCTTCATGTTTGACAGCCACCATTACACTGTCACTCGAAAGCACCTGTAAAATGAGTTTTGCAAATGATTGTTAGAGTACCCCATTAAGTCTGTCATGATGCCTGCTGTTTTGGGTGCTCTACTAGTTCTTTTATTCTTACTAAGAAATAAATACTTTTCAATTCAGATCCTGTTATTATTTGTCATGGCATTAGCTATATGATCAGCTGTTGTTTGTATATGCAGGCAAGCTCACAGATAACTTTTGTGTGACCCTGTTGACTACTATGACTCCAATACTTTAATTCTAATTGGCTTAGACTAATGATGTTACACATGTAGTAATATGACATTTTGTAACTACATTGTTGTATATAGATATCAAATAATTGTAACTAAGAAATAAAGTTTTAAAGTTCAAGTTACAAGATTGGATACCAAACTAAATTAGCAAATTTAGACTAGCAAAAAGTTTTAGCAAATTTAATCGTGATATAATTTACATTTAATGAACTACTTTTTGTATGACAATATGCCACAAGGGCTGAATTATTGATTGGAGGTCATCACAGTTCAGTTTTACACTGTGAACATGTCTCAGTTTAGCCAGCAAAACTGTTTTGTTGGTTAATGATAGAAAATAGTAAAATTCAGTCCATACAAATCAATTCCTACTGTCCAATTTCGTAAACAAAGAATTGAGATATGGCATCAGCCCACTAACAAACCCCGTGGACTATTTGGTGGGGGTTGTTTACAATACTTGTACATTTTTTCAAACTTGAAGAACTGCTTCATCTTAATGTAATACTTTCTTACAGAAAATATAAGAATTTATGTGTTATCTACCATAATATTAAAATATTTTATAGGTATACATGCTCATTAGATAAAAGTTTTCAAAAAAATATCTGTTGTAAATATACTTTTCTATTAAAAAACTAGTAGGTGGTTTTTTATTAATGTTGGAAGGGACTTGTTAATTTTGAAATAATATGTGATAAACTTTTCTCCTATGCTTCAGTTGCTGAAACAAATTCTGAAACTATTAAGTGAACCAGTGCACCTAAAATAATTCATTTTTTCTCAATAATGTAACTTGGAAAACTAGGAACACACAGAAGACATAATATATGGGAACTCCAGTATGCACTAACCTTTCTAACATGTACCATCTTTCACAAACAAGCTCTAATGTACAGTAACAGAAGAATAACATAATTACAACTTATAGATATAATCGAAAAACTTACCAAGATTTCAGCATATAGTAATTATTATTAGGTACTAGCATATAGTATATACTACTACAACCCCACCCCATAGTATACTTTAACCTCACATTTCATAGCAAACTGAAATAAATTAATTTTGGGAAATCAAACTTGATGAACAAAGAGGCAGTTATGTATCAGTAAATTCCTTCGGGAACCAATCAAAATTAAGACCATTCATCAAAGGAATTCCTGGCATATTCATAGAATAGTTATTGGTAAAAATCAGTTAGATTAACAACTTCTAATATATAGAAAAGCCAGTGTATTTTGGTAACACTACATTCCAACAATGGCTTTTATGTCAAGTTGCTTAGCAACAAAAGTATAACCTTATACTGTTATTAGTCTATGTACTGAAAGTATAAAATGAAATGTATAGACAACAAAACTGGAAAACGATTTGTTGATTTTTTAATTTAGTCTCTGTTGATTAAATAAGTTTTTTTTAATATTAAAAA